TGCGGCCGGCGCGACAGTCCCGGCTCGGCTCCCGCGGCCCGCCCCGCCCCGCCCGCCGCGCGCTCCCCCTCGCGCAGCCCCGGCCCGGCCCCCGCCCGCCCCCCGCCCGCCCCCCGCCCCGCCCCGCCCCGCCCGCCGCGCCCCGCCCGGCGCCCCCTGCCGGCCCGGCCCGCGCTGCAGCCCCGCGGCTGCGGGCGGGACGCGCGGCTCCCGGGGCGGCGCGGGGCGCGGGCCCTGCAGGCGGGGCCCGGAGGCGGGGCGGGGGGCGCCAAGCGGGCTGGCCGGGGGTCCTCGCCCTCCCGCGGGCCGGCCAGGGGACCAGGCCTCCGAACCTTAGCTCCCCGGGCGGAGCCTCGGGAGACCTTTTCCTCCGCGCCCGCCGACCTCAGCAGGAGCAGCGACCCACACCTGCGGAGCAGACTCGCCGGGACTTCCAGGTGACGTCACCTCACCCTCGCAGCTGCCCCCCAGGACGTACTATCATGTGCATCTTGCCGGCGAGGAAACAGGCTCAGGCTGAGAGATGAGCAGCGCTGTGAGAGGACGGGCCTCCCGGGCCGCCTCTGGCCGCGGAGACGGCCTCTGGCCAGGGCAGCAGGGCGGCCACCGGCCACACGTGGCTATCCAGCGCCCGAACCGTGGCTAGTGGACTGAGGAGCCGACTTTGCAGTTTTATTTAATTTTCAGGAATCCAAGTGTAGATAGCCGTGTGTGGCTCGGGTCTCGGACGGCACAGGTCCAAGGCTTTCAAGGTAATTGCGGTCAAAGCCTGTGCTCAGAGCCAGATCCTGGCTGACCTGGAAAAGCAGCCTCTTGGTCACTATTTCCTTGTGTGGTAGTGCAAGGCCCACGGGTTCAGCCTCCTAGCGTGTCCAGGATAAACCCACCAGCCCCGGGCCTCTTCTCTGCCTGGGAGCACCTCCTCATCCCTGTTCTGTCCAACGGCGATGCCTCTGTCCTCAGCCTCTAGAACTTCCCAAATCATTCTTTTTTTTTTTTTTAAGAGTTTATTTATTTCTTTGAGAGAGAAAGAAAGCATGAGCTGAAGGGGAGAGGCAGAGGGAAAGGGAGATGCACTCTCCAATGAGCTCGGAGCTGCCCCGTGGGACTCGATCCCAGGATCCTGAGGATCATGACCTAAGCTGAAGGCAGACGCTTAACCCGCTGAACCCCCCACGCGCCCCTCAAATCACTTTTTTAAAAAATGTCAATCAGATCATGTCATTCCTTTGCTAAAACCAGTAGTTTCCTGTCCAGTTCAAAACAACATCTAAACATCTCGCCCTGGTTTCTGAGGCCTACTAGGATCTGCACTTTCCCGTACCACTGACCTCAGCTCCTCCTTTTCTCTCCATTGTTCACTATGTCCCAGCCACCAAGGCCTCCTTGCCCTCACTCCAACATGCCAGGCATACATCAGCCATGTGCTGCTCTACCTGTCTACAATGCTTGTCCCCGCATAGCTGATTCCTTATCACCTCTCTAACGCTTTACCTGAAGCAATTCCCCCTACCTGCCCTTCTTTCTCGCCACGTAAACAATTTATTAAAAAAGATTTTATTTATTTATTCATTAGAGACACAGAGAGAGGCAGAGACACAGGCAGAGGGAGAAGCAGGCTCCCCAAGGAGAGCCCGATGTGGGACTCAGTCCTGGGACTTTGGGATCGTACCCTGAGCCAAAGGCAGATGCTCAACCACTGAGCCACCCAGGTGCCCCACATAAATGATTTTTATTGAGTTTTTGTGAGTATCCTCCCTCCAGAGTGGAAGCTCTGTGAGGGTTAGGTACTTTTCAGGCTTGGTCACTGCCTTGACTTCAACACCAAGAACACCAGCTGGGACACAGTACATTCCCGGTAAACATACATGGAATGAATGGACAATGGCATCTTCACAGGACAGGATCCTACATCTCTGAAACTTTGGAGGTGGAGAATTCTGGAATTTCGGACCAGCGAATCATGTCACTGTGGAGTGGTGCTGCTTGCACGGCCTCTCCGGATCCTCAGATATAGCAGGTCAGATCTAGACAACTGATCCCACCTGAGCCCTGTTTGACAGTTGATGGGACTGACTGAGACGGAGGTCCAGGGGCCGGAGGGCTGCCGGCAGATCCGGATGCCAGACCTGCTAGCCCAGAGGGTGCCATGCCGCCTGCCAGGAGCTGGGCTGGCGGGGGCCAAGCCTGGCTGCTCGGTGGGCATGGGGATGAGGGGGTGAGAGCCTGCGAAGCACCCCCCACCCAGGCAGCCCTCCCTTTCCGCAGTGGCCAGTCATGGGGGAGGGGCAGCTGGGCCGGGCCCCAGATGTGGCCCAGTCAGCAGGCCCGTGGTGGCCCACCGAGGAGGGTCAATGCCACGACAGTTCTGGGGCTGGGGGTGGGGGTGCCCAGGCTGGCGGGCGCTTCACAATGAGGTTTTGTCCCTCCAGGGGCCGCTCTCCGAGCCCTTGCTCTTAGATATATAGAATGGGATCTTGCTGGAGGCCCCAGCTGTGTGTGCTAACTGGTGCTCCCCCCACAGGGGCTGGGCTGAGAAGGGGGGCAAGGGCCACACTGAGACGCCTATTCTTTTCCAGCTGATACACCCCAGAGAGTTTTCGCCCTCTGCAGCCTCCCTTAAGACAATTGTTATTCTCTGCCCTGCCCCTCCCCCACCAGTCAGGCCCGCCCACAGTGGTAGACAGAGTAGACACCCGCTCACGCCATGTGATTTTTTTTTTAATGAATTTATTTTAGGAGTTGCCTGGGACCAGCTGGAAAACAAGCTCCCACCTACCCACAGGTCTTTTCACCATATTCCACATGGGGCTGAAACGTATACCCACTCTTCGAGGGCCATCATGATGAGCTAAGCGTTGTCCTTGTATTGGTCACCAAAGGAATGGGAGATGCCTATTTGGTCCCCGACACCCCAACTCCTCAGGTTGGATCACTAAGCCTCTGGGCTTAGTGCCTTGAGCTTCAATGGGGTGGGAGGGAGCTTCCTGTTAATCCTGCAGGAACTGGCCTGGCTAAGGGGGTGTGGCCCTACCATCTACCCTATTCCACTAGGCCACTGAGCAAAGGAGCAACTGCCCCGGGGGTTCCCATCTCTGGGCTGGGGGAGAGGAGTGGTTCAAGTGCCAGACTCCGGGGCTCAGCCACAAGTCAATGCTGCCACCCCCAAAGTCTATCATGAAGCTGGGGTGCAAGCTGTCTGGGACAGGGCGGTGGCTAAGGCTGGTGAGGGAGCCCAAGGGAACATTGCATAACCAGGACTTTGAGGGAGCCGTCCATAGAGAAGAGCCCTGTCTGCACCCCATCCCCACCCAGCTGTAATGAGTGACCAACTGAGACTTCATTCCTGGCCTAGCAGTGGCAGCTGTGGCCTCTCAGCCATCGTCCAGGGCCTGCCCTCTGGTCCTTGGAGGACTCATCTGGAAATCAGCCTATTATTCCCACCTCTCAGGGTAGCTAAAATGTCAGGGAAGTGATCAATGAGCGCTGCTTTCTTCTATTCCAGAACAGTTCCAGGTGCTCAGTACTGGCCCATGAGTGACAGCAGGGCCAGCGGGAGACAGTGCCTGGGGAGAGGGAGGCAGGCACTGAGGGTAACTGGGGGAACAGAGTACCGGGCTGGAGGCCAGCCCAGGAGAGGGTGGGGCTCACCAGCTAGCCAGATGGGCAGGTGACCCTGCTGTAGGGCTCCTGACCCCCCATGGGCTCATGCAGCCCTGGCACCTGCCTATTGTGTAGAGAAAGGGAGGTAGGCCCAAGGAGTAGTGAGTGGGAACCCAGTGTCAATGAGCCTGGGGGTGTGGCTTCCCTGGACTCGGGTGAGACGGGTGGGGGAAGCCCTGCAGGACAACCTCTCTCCCACCTCCTCACCAGCTGAAGTGGATGGGCCATCCACCGGCCTGCAAGGGGATGGGAAGCACAGGTTGCTCCAGCCCTTCCCCACACAGCCTGACTGTGTGACCTTGGGCAAGTCACAGAACTTCTCTGGCCCTCAGGGTCTTCTGCTTCTGCTCCACCAATTGGTCAGGATAGTTTGCAAACACAGTGAGACTGAATTTCTGAGGAAGAACCTCGCAAAACCATAAAGTGAGGGTGGAGGCCAGAGTCCTCAGCCAGGAGGCCCGGATTCTGGTCCAACAACTGTCCCCACAGGTTGAGTCACCTTACACAGGTCCTTGCTATCATTGGGCCTCTTCTGTTCAAGAGGCTGGGGGTGAAGCCAAGGCACTGTTCTATCACCTTCCCCTAGAATTTCACAAGTAGGGTCACTCTGGACTCAGGAGGGGAAGGGAGAGGAGAGGGTCAAGGTCAGGTCAAAGTTTAGCTGGGTCAGTGCCCATTCTACCATCTCTCTGGGCTGGCTGGGGGAACAGCGCCACCTGCTGTGTGGAGGCGCAGGTGCAACAGCAAGCTGCCTGCTGGCCCTGAAAGCTGCTCCCCAGGCCTGGCTGTTCCAGAGCCCTGGAGCCCTCGGGTGGGACCGGCCAGCTATTTTGCACCCTCCTAAAGAAGCACTCAGCAAAGGTTTCCAGTGGCCCTTGCATTTCAGTGTTACCCTGCTGGGGGGTTTTAGTGGAGTCCTTCCCCCTCTGCTCTAGTTCCGTCTTGGGGTTAAGGGGTGGGAACCATCAGACCAGCCCAGGACCCCACATGCTAGCTCTGTGGTCTTGGGAAGCTTACTTACCCTCTCTGCGCCCCAGACCCCCTCAGGAAGGAGAAGGGCTGACGAGTCCCATCTTTCAAGGCCCTGATGAGGTCCTGAACATGGATGCCCTGGGTCATCTTTCACATGAGCAGAGCTCAACAAGGGACTGCCCCCCCCATTCGTGTGGGGCTTTGAGGGTCTTCTGGTCCCTCACTGTGACTCGAAGTGTGGTCCTAGATCAGGGCTTGACAGCAGTGAGAGCCAGTCTCAAGGTCCCTACCCACCACTGACATCAGCAGGAAGCCCCCCAGCCCATCCCCACCTGCCAGGAAGAGAAGTTACTCAAGGCAGCCAGCACGTTCCTACATCCAGTTTATACACAGCTCTATACAATATACAGAAACCTTTATATACAGATATATTTATAGAATAGGCTATATTAATTAGTCTCTCCTTTTTACAGCAATATTAGTTTGGATCTTTCATACAGTAAGTACAAAAAGTCATAGGGGAATGGCACGTACAGTGCCTGAGTGTCTGTGCGGCCCAGCTGCTCACCACCGATTGCATATAGAGGTCACCCAGGCCCCTTAGGAGAACAGACCAGCTCACGGCTGGGGAAGTTTGTGCTGCAGTCTGGGGGATAGAGTGGGCGTGGGTCTGAGCCTTGCTGGGCTGAGGGGGGTGGCTCAGACTCCCCCAAGTGTGGTGTGGGGAAGGAGAGGGGTGGGTAAGCCTATCATCAGGAGTGTGGCGGGCAGGGGGTGGGTTTGGGATGGGCTGACCCTGGGGCATCCAGGGCTGAGTCCGAGCCTGCCTCAGCCCCAAGTCTGTAACCCTGGGTGGCTGCAGCCCTGGCGGTGGGGAGTCTGTCCCTGATGGCTCAGTTCTGGGCGTGGGTGGGTACCACACCCCCTTAGAGGTGCCAGGGCCCACCCTGGCAGAAGAGGAATTAAAAGGCCAGACACTGAGTCTCTCCCTATAATTGGCTGAGGTGCTTGTTGGAACCTTACTCTGATTTATGATTTTTTTTTTTTTAACTCTGAGAGCCACTGATTCCATCTTCTGCTGGGCCCAGGCTCTGCCAGCAGCAGGCCCCTCAGCAGGGGCGTCCTAGAGTCTCGTGAGGGGTGGGTGTCAGAGAGGGAGGCCCAGACCCCAGGTCTCTGCCTCCATCTGTCAGGGCGGGCAGGGGTCCCAGAGCAGCATCCAAGCCAGTCCCAGCTGTGTGGGACAGGGATGGGGGTGGTCAGGACAGGCCAAGACACCAGTGTTCATGAGATTGGGGGGCACCCCGGAGAAGCCGTGGAGGGGCCAGCATGTGGGAGTATGCCTCCGAGGAGACGAAGGCACAAGCGGGCAGTTAGTGCCTGAGCACACACGTTTTCCAAACCCGGGGTCAGAGCCACAAGTAGGAGAAGGGGGATGGCGATGTCTGAAACTGAGCTCATCCTATGGCCCCCTGTGCACAGGCCCCCATCCTAGTTTATTTTCTTGGTGGGCTGGGGAGGGGTAGCAAGCAGGCAGGGCAGGTGGGGTGCAGTGGGTGGATGCCCCCAGCAGCCCCTTCCTCAGGAGTGGCGCACACTCATGCACATGCACAGACATGCCCCACACATGCACAACCTTCTACCCACAGCTTCTGGGGACAGGCCACTCTCCAACTCCCCTTACCCCCCCCCCCAAACTAGCAGGGAAGGAACCCCCCTCAAGCAGGGGCTGTGGAGGCTTCCGGCTAAACCGGGAAAGCCCCAGAGACTCTGGCCCTCCTGCTCCCCCTTTGGCCAAGTCCCACAACTCCCCACTCTTGGCCCCATTTCCTGCCAACAGGACCTCAAGGGTGGGAGGGAAGAAAGCCCTACCACCAGGAGAGAGCTCAGGCCAGTGAGGAGGAGCTGAGGCATGTGTGGTTTTAGATCCCAGGGCCTGAGGCTGCTTGGGTGCGGGAAGAGGGGTGATATAAAGGGGTTACATGGGGCCCTCAGAGGAAGGGGGATTTGGGTGCCCTCCTTCTTCCCAGGGCACTCACTCTGCAGCCAGGAGTGGTCACACCTGTGCCTTCCACCCTTTGAGTGGCCAGGACCCCTGGAGGATAGAAGGCAAGCTAGGAAGTAACAGGCAGATGGGGCAAGCCAGGGTGCCCAGGACCTGCTGCCAGGAGGATCGACATGACGGGCACCAAGCAGAGGAGGGGTAGTCTTGACCTCACCCTCCTCCAGGCCCCGTGGCTGCCTTGGGCTCTGTGCAGTCAGGCTGCTTCCCCTCCCTGCTCAAAACACAGGAAGAGGCTGGGATGAGGGGGTAGCAGGAGGGGGCTTGCAAGCCCAGGATACATCCTGAGCCCAGCCCAGCAGCATCTGTAAACATACACAGCACTGCGGGCCACCTTGGTGTGGGGTTATCCCAGGGGGCTGGCCAGCAGGCACCAGATCTAGGAGAGGTGGCCAGGGCAGATGCCAGCCTGGGCCACAAATGTGAAGATGTGGGGAGAGGGCTGCTCTCCATCTCGGCCCTGTGAGAGCAGCAGAGGGCAGTGATGGGGAGTCAGCATGCCCATTGGCCATCCTGTGGAGTAGTCAGGCTGAGGGGCCAGTGCTGCCCTGCCCACTTGGCAGGCTGCCCCAGGCTTCTCCCTGCTTCACCTTCTCCCCAATCTGGAGGACCTAGATCCGGGCCACCTGGTGGTCCTAAGCTGAGGTAGGGATGCGGACCCCCAGCTCAGTAGCAGTGCCCCATGCCTGAGGCTAAACTGGCTCCTAGGGGCCTCTCCACAAAGCAGCCTGGCCCTGGGGGCAGCCACCAGGAGCCTGAGGGGCCACCTGCTCTGGCCTGGGCCTCGGCCGGCAGCCACTCCTGGGGTGCTAGCGTGCTGAGATAACCAGGTCATCTGGCTTGGCGGGGCTGGGCCCGTGGCCGGTGGGGGTGGAAGTCCGGATCTTGTCCACTGCCAGGCACTCCTGGCTGCTGAGACCTGTGGGTGTCAGGTCCATGAGCTCACCCGAGGAGCTGAGTGGGAAGGAGGGAGAGAGTGAGATGCCCGAGGAGGGGTCAGCTGAGCCAGCGAAGAGCCTCGGGGGCTTGGGCACCAGGTTGGGCTCAAACTGGGCACGGAGCAGGATCTCTTGCTGGCTGGGGGACTTGGGGCCCTCAGCATAGTCGCTGGTGGGGCTCTCGGGCACCACCATGCAGTAGAGGTCCTGCAAGGAACTGCTCTTACTGTCTAGGTTGAAGAGGCTGTCGATGAACTCGGCGAACTCTAGCACCTGAGGGCTGGGCGAGTCCCCCAGGCGCCCGTTGTGCAGTGCCAGCTCTCCCCCGGGGGCCACCCCACCGCCCCCGCCCCCCTCCTCCTCCTGGTCATTGGCCACCACGCTGGGGGGCCGCTGGGGGGTGACGCCGCCGCTGCCCAGGGCTGCCTCCAGGGGTTGCGTGTCCTGTGAGTGCTTGGACAGGCTGTCGGCCGCCAGCAGCTCCGTGCGCGAGCTCAGGGACGGGTTCTCCTCAGGGATGGTGGGGTCGATGTAGAAGAGGTGGCCCTCGTCGCGCTCCAGCACAGCATGGAGGCTAGGTGAGCCGCGGATGCTGCGGAAGCCTGAGGAGCGGCGGGAGTCGAAGCTGTACAGGGACTCTGTGTCTGACAGGCTCTCCATGGTGGCCAGGGGTGCCCGCCGGGCCTGCAGCTCCGCTGCCAGCCGCTCCTGGGTAGACAGTAGCAGCAGCTCCACGGGGTCCTGGCGGGTCACTGCTGCCGCCACCACTGGGGACAGCAGCCGCCCCTCCGAAAAGCCCTCCAGGCTCATCTCAGACTGGGACTTGCTCCTATGGGGGGTGGGGAGGAGGTGTGTGAGCGGAGGGAGACTCAGGAAAGGCAGAGACACAGGCCCCCCTCCCCCTCCTGGGCTGCAGGGAGCTTGGGGATGGGAGGAGGGGAGAGTTAACTTAGCGGTCATTCAAGAGTGTTGGGCAGAGACCCTTATTTTTAAAAAGCAACTGGCAAGAACCCAGGACAGAAGGCAAAAGGGCTGATGCTGTGGGTGGGGGCACTGAAGGCCTAAGGAGCCTGGAGCCCAGAGACAGCGGCTGCCCCAGGTCACTCAGGAGGTGATGGGGGAGGGGAGAGGGGAATGGGAGTGACCACTGCCCAGAGCTGCCCCCACTGGTTCTCTCAGGGCCAGCACCCCTTGGTGCCTCTCTGGGGGCTGAGCTGGCTTTCTTCCTCACACTGCAGTCCCTCCCACCTGGGCCATGGGTTAGAACCCCCGCTGGAAGAACAGGGAAATGGGAAGTGTGTGTGGGGAGGAATGCAACAATTACTGCCGGTGCACACTGGTTCCCTCCTGTGGGCATGCGCTGGAAATGCACAAACGGCAAGGAGAGATGTCCAGGTGTCCCCACCAAGAGCCTGGATCTGGCGACCACCCTTTGGAGCAGTCTCCTGGCCAAATCTGTGACCTGGGCTGGAAGGGCCCCAGAGAAGTAGGAAGATTCCCACCCCCCAAGAGCCACCCTTTAAGAGATAACCCCAGTAAGAGTGTGTGTGAATAGGGAATGTGTGTGGGTCTGGGAGCAAGGGCGCATGGCTCTGTGTCATGTGTAGTGTGCAAACCAGGCGTCGGTATGTCAGGTGGCCCAAATATGTGTCTGTGTGGCTCCGTGTGGGTACAGGTGCACTCCTGCACTCCAGTGCATGGCCGCCATCCTAGCATGGCGTGTGTGTGTCTCAGCCTCTGACTTGCTGGATGTCCTACCCAGGAGCATGCCTGCGTGGGGCTCTCTGCGCTGAGAGCTACCGTTTATGAACACATATGTATGTGCATGTGTAAGTGTCACTACAAATACACATGTGTGTGTGTATATAAGCACACGGGCATCCACCTGTTTGGGGTTACATGGCCATGAGGGAACCTATGTGCTTGTGGTTCCAGGTCTGTGCATCCCTAGAAGGCCACTATCCCACGTGGGCTTCAGTGAAGGCAAGCTGTGGGCAATGGGAGCAGACCCGGCGATTGCAAGCAGAGGGGCACCGTCAAGTCCTCCTGCACAGGAGTGCAGAGCTATGCGAACACCAGTGGGGCTAGCACGTGCATGTATATGTGTACAAAGAGCATTCAAGCTTGGAACACACAGGGTGGGGCTGTGCAACAGGGCTCACCTGACGCTGCTATTTCGGTGGTCTGTGGTGGGAAGCTCCAGGGCTAGGCCGGTGGGCAAGGGAGGCCCTGTTGGCAGCGGCTGCTGTTGGAAGATGAGCTCAGGAGTCAGGTCCACCTCAGTGGGGCTCACCATGACCTTAGCAGCAGAAAGCAGGGCTGTCTTCCCCTTGTTGTAGTTCTCCAGCACCTGGGGACAGGTCGGGCAAGCTGGTGGTGGTGGTGGAGGGGTGACAATCACATGTGGGGGCAGGGCAACAGGCCAGACTCGCATGTGGTGGGCTGAGCCCCATGCCTGCTGTGGAGCCCAGGTCCCTGCTCCACCAGGAAGGCCTGCGACTGGCCCTGTAATCATGCCTGGCCCACAGATGGGCCGAGTTGGCCTTCTTCCCTACAGCCAGGCTTTCTGCAGCCAGGTGATGTCTGTGGATGCCCCTGCTTGGCTGTGCATCTGTCAAGGGCCAGGTCTCCCAGACAGACCCCTCCCCACCGTGGGGCCCACCTGGTGGTATGGACAGCAGGGGTGTGGGGACCAGAACACAAGTTCTGACCATTTCCCGGAGCGTCCGCACCCTTGCCTGTCACACGTGGATGGAGGTCCGGCCAGCAGAGCGCTGCAGGGTTCTAATGAGGCGTCAGTGCCCAGGCTGCCCAGGGGCTCACCTTGTTGAGCCCCTCCATGACCACATAGGGGAGGTGCTCATGCAGCATGGCCGGCGAGATGATCACTTCATTGAAGGCCTTGTTGTCGCCCCAGATGGCGAAGTATGTGGGCTCCTCCTGCTCACAGCAGCTGGAGGGCAGAGGGACCGGAGGGAAGCTGAGGGTGGGTGGTCCCTGGGCTCCCTGCTCCTGCCTCACCCTGAGCCCTTACCCCTACCCCCACGGGAGCCAGGAACTTTTTTTTTTTAAGATTTTATTTATTTATTAGTGAGAGACCCATAGAGATAGAGATAGAGATAGAGATAGAGATAGAGAGAGAGAGAGAGAGAGAGAGAGGCAGAGACACAGGCAGAGGGAGAAGCAGGCTCCATACAGGGAGCCCGATGTGGGACTCGATCTGGGGTCTTCAGGATCACGCCCTCAGCTGAAGGTGGCGCTAAACCGCTGAGCCACCTGGGCTGCCCAGGAACATTTATGTCAAATGAGCCTCAGCCATAGTCCCTACACACCCTACACCTGCCTGTGCCTGGGAGAGGCCCGGCCCACAAGCCTTCTGTCACTGGGCCAGAGGGTCCAAGCCCCACCCTCTGAAAGAGTATGAAGTGGGAGAGGCCTATGTACTACTGGCCCACATCTCTCTCCTACCACCCTCCCCCCACCCCCGCTGCCAACTAATCCCAGAGGGGATGCCAAGTGACCACTGAGGTCTCAGGGTGACCCCTCCAGGGCATCTGCTTTGAAATGGACCATAAGTGGGGACACCAGGGAAGGCCTGACATTGGGGACAAAGGCTGGGGCTGTCAAGAGAAGAGCCTGGGGTCCTGCTCTGGACTGGTCTTTTATTTCATTTCCAGGCCCAAAGGAGACACCCCCGTCCCCGCGTCCTAGGCCATCATCTCCCAGCCTCTGCCCCCAGTCCCAGGGAGAGACAAAGCAGGACAACAGCCCCATCCCCTACACCCCAGCTGCCCAGGATCGCATGCAGCACCTACCAGCACTGCTCTGCTGGGTGGTTATGGACCACGTGAATGATGCGGCCGGGTGGGTAGAGAGGGGTGCTGGCTGACAGGGCGATGGTCAGGTCGCTGGGGTGGGTCCAGAGCCGTGTACTAGAGAGGGTGGCCACCTCAACCTCCTCGGGCAGCTCCGACTTGGGGATACATTTGGTGGCCCCCACAATAATTCGCCACTGTGCAGGGCAAGGTGGGGAGATGAGGACAGAGCTGAGCAGGGCTGGCTGGGTGGGCAGTGGCAGAAGGGTCCTCAGAAGGGGGTTCGGAGGTAACAGGTGGGAGCTGGGATGGCTGTGGGACATGGGAAGAACAGTGCCCCCTGAAGAGGCACTGGCTAAGGCATATGGTGGCCATGATGGCTGAAAAGATGCCAAGGACAGGTGACATGACAGTGTTGAATTTTAGGGCTAGAACAGGGCTGGAAGACCAGTCAAGGCCTTATCTGGAGGATGGGGAAACAGCCCAGCAAAGGGAAAGGATTTGTTCTAGGTCATTTCGCTGGAGACAGAGCAGAGCCCGAAGTTTAGTCCAGCTGTACCTATGAGGCCTGGCCACGTCTGGGTTGGCTCCCAGCCCCCTGGCCTCCTGGGCCTGACGAGCGCACAGGCCTGGGGCTGATAGGAGCAGTTCTACCTTCCGGAACCAGATTCCTGCAGGCAGGCCTGGCCCCCTAAGGCTTTGTTGCCCTGCCCGCCCTGCCAACTGGTGCCTGGCCCGTGGCCCTGCCTGCTGGAAGGTCATGGGCACCAAGACTAGGAATAGTCCAAACTGGGCAGAGATGACGGTTAATGGGGCAGGGCCCAGCCTGGGGCTCACAGAGGACACGCTGGTCCAAGTTAGTCCCTTCCCGCCTGCCTTGGGGCCCCTGGCCACAGAACCCTTGCCTGCCTGGCACACTGAGGTCAGCTTGCCACAGGAAGAGGCCCCTGTGTCCTCGGAGACCTGATAAGGGTTGAGGCATGGCTGAGCCTCTCCTTAGCCACAGTGGAACATCACAACAAACTGCACCCAGACCCCCTCCAGTGGGAGCATCCAGGCTTGTGGAGTCTGGGGAACTGCAGTGGGCTCAGCAGAGGACTTGCTGTCATAAGCTTGAAGCACCGAGCCTCGGGCCTGCTTTTCCCTGACTTTAGGCAGCTCTAGGTGATGGGGCCAAGACTCAGGAGCCCTTGGTCCCAGTCCTGACAGTGTGTGTGAGTAAAAGCAAGTCCCTTGCCCACTCTGGGCCTCGGTTTCCCCCTCTGTACAAGGACAGGTCGGTGGGGGAGGTGAGATGAACCTGGAGGTGTTGGGAATTTGATGGCTTGGGGTTCCTGGGACACCAGCCACACCCAGCCTGGCCTCTCATGGCTGGGCCCTCTTGTGCTTTGTGCCAAGGGATAGGCAAGGCATGAGACAGATGAGGTGCCCAAGGCCCAGCATGCCCAAGCAGGACAGAGGGGCAGGGGCTCACTTTGGGCTTGGTGCTTCGCTGGAGGACGTCCAGGAGCTGTCTGCGGAAGCCTTCCAGCTGGGAGAGGCCGATCCTGGGGAAGGAAGCAAGCTGGGTATCAACCTGGCCCAGCCAGGGACCAGGAGAGGTATGGGGCGTGGGGGCAGAGGGGCAGGCACACGGCAGCCATAGAATCGAGAAGACCATGCCACCAGGGTCACAGGGTAGGAGGGGCGGGTAGGGGTGAGTCTGCAGCTTAGCAGGACCTAGCCAGGGAAGGGAGGTCAAGCAGGGTGGGGCCACCTGTCCTCTTGCTCTGGAGGCTCTGGGATCCCCCTGGGAGATGGGAATCCGAGGAAGAGGCCCTGAGGAAGGAGGAACAGCTGGCCAGGACATGGTGTGAGGGAGCCACTTGTGACTTGCGACTCGCCTGGGGACAAGATCTTTGCCCAGAACCACAGCCGTCACAAATTCCTTGGAGTACTCCATGGCGTCCTCACTGCAAAGGAAGCCAGGGGGTGCTCAGGCAGGGGTGGTGACGGGGCCCTGCTCCAGCACTCCTGTAGTGAGTGTTTTGATTCAAGGCCCTCTGGGGAGCTCACAGCTGCCAGGCTGGGCTGCCTGTTCCCTGTTGCACCTTTCCTACCAGTGAGGTTTTACTGGGTGTAGATCTGGAGTCAGCCTGGCATTTGACAGAGCACCCCTCCCTCCACTTACCAGGTCATTCCCAGGCCCCCAGACCAGAAGCCAGACTGCCCAGGCCAGCTCCCAAGTCTTTTGCCCCTCCTGTTACCCAAGCCAACTCTCAGGCCCCAGGCTACTCACCTCAGCAGGCCCCCTGGCGGGGAGTACGCAAAGCACTTGAGGGTAGGATACTGGGGGCGCAGCAAGAAGGAGAGGATAGCAGCGGTGCCTGCACCCAGGGAGTGGCCCACCACAATCAGGCCGTAGTGTTTGGTTCCTCGGCCCTGAAAACCAAGAGAAGGCTGAGAGCCCTGCCTCGCTGAGTGGAGGGCTGACAGCAGTCAGGTTCTTTCCAGAGTCCTGACACTGTGCTGTGTGGCTGCCGGGGCAGAGGGAGAGCCAACCTAGACTCACAGGAGTAACTTCTTGGGGAGACCCTTCTAACAGACTCCTACTCATCCTTCCAAATCTTGTTCAGAGGATCACCCTGGAGAAGCACTTTCAGATTTTCCAGGAGAGGCTCGCAGCATCTACACTGGTGGAAGACCTTCACGTATGGCGATTACGCTTCACTGTGATAAATGTACACTCTAGGGAGAGTTTCTTCTATTACAATCATTTGCTCGCATGCCCCAATTTCTGTGCCCCAACAACCAGACTGGGGCCTCCTGAGGCCAGGGACTACTTGGCTTTGGGAAGGGCAGTTGGCAGCACCTTGGGGATTGCCTGCCCAGGGAGCAGGTGGTGGGTAGGATCCAAATTGCCCCCACCAAACCAACACCCTTCCTGTGGGTTCTGTAATTACTTTTCTTTGTTGCCTGCTAGGTATTTTGAAGCCCCTGGCCAGAACCATTTTTGTTCCAGTTCTGGCATGGAGTAGGTGCTCATAACCAGGTGGGGCTGGACAGGGGAGCCCAAGGAATGCTTGTACAAAAGAGGAAGGGGTCAGAGGGGGTGGGGGAAGCTCCACCTTGTAGGCACCCTGCCCCCCAGTGTTGCCTTACGGGAGGCAGAGCTGGCATGGCCAGGGCTCCCTGGCAGGGAAAATGCCTCACCAGGTCTCGCCCAAAGGCCTGGGACAGGACCATCTCCTGCTCCAGCTTCTTCTTGATGTACTCAGCCGAGAGGACCATTCCCTGGGCGTCAGGGGGAGGGCAGAGGGAGGGAGAGAGAGAGTCTTAAGCAGATTCTGTGCTGAGCGAGGAGACTGACACAGGGCTGGGTCTCATGACCCTTAGCTCATGACCTGAGCCGAAACCAAGAATCAGACGCTTCAATGAATGCGCCACCAGGTGCCCTGGGAGGGAGGTCTTTTAGAGACCAGCAAAACCAGCGACTGGAGACTCACCAATCCTGTCCCAACTGTTTCCCCTTTGGCCCTCCTAACAACCTGGCTGTGGGGGCTGGTGGACACTTTACCACATCATTTCCATTTCACAGGTGATAAAGCTGAGGCTCAAAAGAGTTGTGTGTGTAGCATAAGTCAGTCTCTTCCCAGCTGCCTCTTCAGGCTCCTCTGGGACAGGATCTGGGCTGGGCAGGACTGGGGGGGGGGGGCACAGTGGACCTTCTAGATGAATCCAGACTCCTCTGATCCATCTCTCCCGGGGGAACCCCCATCCCAACAACAGGATGGGTCTGAGTGCTGGCAGGGGAGGAGAGAAGGCAAGGGGCTTCAGGGGCTCAGAAGGAGGAGTACCTTGTGTCCCAGCCAGGTCCCATGGTGCCCCTCCACAGGGAGGCGCTCGGCATCACCAGTCAGGTCTGTCAAGGCATCCTTGTGGAGAGAGGACAGGTGAGGGGTGCCGTGAGGAGGACAGAAAGGGAGAGGCACACCCCTTGGGCACTGGGAGGGGTGGGCTGGGAGCCATGGGCAGCATACCTTTGGGGAAAGGGTTCCCCGGATACTGATCACCACCTTCTTCTTGTCATGGTCCACTGCCACATAGAAGGGGGTCTCATAGACCTAGGATGAGGGTGGCTTGTGAGCCAAATGGCCCTGGGATGGGGCCAGGCTTGGGCAGTGACCTAAGCAGGTCTCCTGGCCAAGGAATCCCTCCCCACCTGGCACACAGCCGACCCTGAATTCTCAGCCCCCCTCCCACCTGATGGCTGCTGTCCTGCCTGCAGAGTCTACAGAGACCGCACCCCCCCCCCCCCCAGTGCTTCACTGCTTAGTCCCTCCATCCCATCCCCTAGAAGGCTGGGCTGAGAAGCCCTGGGGCTGGGTGTAGGGTCCGGGATCACTTCCTAGCCCCAGAGAGGGAGCAGGCCAGGCTGTGGGGAAGGGAGGGGGGCCAGGCCCCAGCCCCACCTGCCCCTGTGGCCACAGAGGACAAAGGCTGGGGAGGACGTGTGGCCCCTCACCGCATCATGGCAGGAGGTGTATACTATGTCCACCGCAGTCATGTTCTCATCCAGGAAATGACGCCGGATGGCAATGGCATTGCAGCCACAGCAGTTGTCCTCCTCGATGGTGACTCCTGGGGCAAAGCGGGGCCGCGCGGGACACAGGCAGCACCTGGCAAGGGGTGGCAGGGGGCTCAGAGGCCCCGGGGGCAACTGTCCCCACCAGCCTCTCTCGAACCTCCCTCGAGGAGTCCCACAGTCCTCACTCTACTTGGCCTCCTGGCAGCAGGGGACCTGGTGGGCCTCTCCCTCTCCCCACCTCACCCCTGGATTGCTCTTCCTTCACTGGTGGCCTCCCCGGCTCATCCCTGGCCACAGTGACACTGTCTCTGGCATTAAGCACCGCCTCTGAGCTACAGAACCACCTGCACTGCTCCCAGCCTCCAGATACCCCCATGTCATCTTTCCAGGTCCCAGTCCCCACCAGCCCCCCGCCCCCCGCATGCTCCCTGAGCCCTCCATGCCTGGCTGCTCATTGCCTAGCCCTGTACTTGGAGCTGGCTTCAGGTTCTCGTCCCACCTCCCATCCCACAGCCTGTCACCAGCTCATTCTGCCTTCAAATTCAGAACAGACTCCAACCACTTTCCCTCATGCCCACCCCTTCCACCATTATCTCTGCCTTGGAGTGCTGTGGTGACCTCCTGGCTGGTCTCCCTCATCTACTCTTGCCCTCAGCATTCTCTTTCTCTCTCTTTTTTAAGATTTTATTTATTTATTTATTCATGAGGGACACAAAGAAAGAGGCAGATAGAGAGAGAAGCAGGCTCCTTGCAGGGAGCCTGATGTGGGACTCGATCCCAGGACCAGGATCATGCCCTGAGCTGAAGGCAGATGTTCAGCCACTGAGCCACCCAGGTGTCCTGCCCTTGACATTCTCAATTGGCAGCTGGAGTCACCCTCTGAGATGAAAGTCAAGCCATGTCACTTCACTCAAAACCCGACAGTGATGCCCTTCTCAACCATTGTAAAAGCTGGAGTCCTTGCAAGGGGCAATGGCACTTCTCCCTCTGGCCCCAGTGCTCTGGCTCACTGACCCCGACTTCCCTCCAGCCACATTGGCTCTCCTACCAGCCCTTGGATGCCTCGGCCAGACTGCATGGCAGGACTTCTCCCTTCCTTTGGGCCTCTGCCCAAACGTTGTAGTGAGGTCCACCTGGATACCTTCTCTAGCACAGCCAGCACCCTGCCAGAGTTCCCCAGCCTGACAACACACCCGGCTTGTTTTTCCCCAAAGCGTCCATGGTTCCTACCGGCTATGTGTCCTTGTCTGTGTACTGTCCATACCTCCCCACCAGGCAATGGCTCCACGGGACAGGGTTTGCTCTGCTTGGTTTATAGCTATAGCCCCAGCCCCAGGCACATAGTAGGTATCCTCCAAATGAACAGCTGAGCATTGGAGGGGGCACCCTGCTGGGGTGCAGCTGCTCTTCAGGCCACCAGGGGGAGTCAGCACCCAGCAGATCGGGCCCTGGAGCCAGAGCAAGAGGCCTTGCAGGCCGCTGTCTTGAGAGGACAGCGGAGATTTTTATTAAGAATCCTGAGTTTTGGTGATGCTGAGAACTTTGTCCTCACCCAAGCAGTACCTAAGGGACTGTTACATACTCCCCAAAAAAGAGAGGCCTCACTGAGAAAACTCCAGCCCCTGGAAGCTACCGGGCCTGGGGTGGGTGACCACTTCAACACACACTGATGGTGCTCCCACAGACTTGGGCCAAGTGGGGGCTGGCCTAGGTCTGGGAGCAACTCCTTTTCTCAGGCAGCTGCCTCCTCTCCCCAGCCTCAGTTGGTATGTGGCCACCACTGGTGTCTTCAGGGACAGACACCAGGACTTGAGGATGGTCTTCTTTCTCCTCAAAGCCCTGAGAAGCTGACGGACAGCAGCATCCCTCCTGTCTGCAGATCACCTTGAGTGCCCAGCTTACCAGCCATTCCCTGGCTTCTGAAATACCACACAGGCCGGCGGGACAGACACTGCCTGCATAGATGTTGTCCCCACCGTCCCAGTGGTAACGGAGCAGGGCCTATCAGAGCCCAGGTCTCCAGACTCCTGGTCTGGTGTTCACTTTGAGAAGCTCCTCAGCAGTGGCAGGGATGCCCAAGGACACTGGGAGGAATGCCAGCTGTGGAAAGGCATGGGGAGGGTGGTCCACTCACTCTGTGAGTCACTGGGGGATGGGAAGAACAATGTCCCAAGAGCCACCCAGCTCTCCACAGAAATGAAGAGCACTGCAGGAAGGGTGTGGCTGCCCCAATGGCAGCAGGGGTGTCACAGATGGGGTGCCACCCTTTCTAGACCAGGAAGCCAGGGAGCCTTCCTTCTGTCTGGGCTGGGCTGGGCTGAGAGTGGAGACGCCAAGCCCAGTTCCCCTCCTGGAACTGTGCCCTTCTCTGGCCCACTTAGGAAAGCAGAGGGTCCACCCGGCCCCCAGAGATGGGGCTTGTGGGCAGGTCTGGGGCAGGTGCCTTGCCAATTTCCTGTGAAGAGCTTCAAAGTCTTTCACTAAAGGGCCTTCTCGATGCCCTCTAGAGGCCTCCATGGACTGGGAAAGGCAGAGCACAGGTCAGGAACAGCAGAAAGAAGGATGTAGGTAGAGGGGAGTGGCTGAGTGGGGCCGATAGGGACAGGAGGGAACTAGCAGAGCCAGAGGCTGGGTGACTCTCATGGAATCCTCTTAAAACAACTCCAGGAGGTATGTATTGCCAGCCCCATTTTACAGATCAAGAAACTGAGCCTTGCAGAGGTAGGGTGACTTGCCCAAGGTGGTAAGTGACAAAATCTGGATTCAAGCCAAATACTGTGTGATCCCAAAGCCTGAGCTCTTCCCCACCTAAGGAGAATGCAGAACTAGAAAGGTCGAGGCCCAGAGGTGGAGGGGAAGAGAAGCAATGCAGGCCTCAGACCACAGGGGAGGTGGGGGCAGGCACAGTCTGTCTAGGGAGACTCTCACACAGGCTGGCCCAGCCTCAGGACCTCTGCTCCTCTACACATGCTGGCCAGCTGGAAGGATGGGACAGGGGTACTCACGAGCAGGACCGTGCCAGCTGACAGAGGCCACAGGCAGGCTTCCGCATCAGGTACATGGGCCACCCATAAGCGGCCAGGGCAAAGAGCATGTAGTAGCAGACCTCTTTATAGCGGAGCATCTCTTGCTGGAAGAAAGGAGGCAAAGGCGGTCACCTCTTGCCCTTCCTGCCTACGGCCTGTAGGCCGAAAGGCTCCCCTGGGTGGAGGAGGGAGTGGCCCTTCTAGCCTCCCCAAGGACTGCAGGCCTGACCCTGCTCCTGCTTTGGAGGAAGGGCTGCTCCTCCAGATGATAATTGCATTTCCCTAATTATCTCCATGCAACCAGAGCACGAAGCCTCCTGGGACCTGTACTGATGCTCCAACCTCAGAATTAATGATTTGGGGACAGAAAAACACTCGGAGCACTGGATCAATTTCCTTGCCTGTTTTCTAGAGAAGGGGTGAGTGGTAATCACCCCTCCTCCACAATCAAGCCTGGCAAGGGAAGTTTAGCCTTGAGAGGCCCTGGGCCCTCCAGCTGGGGGATATCTGACCCTGTAGACACTGGGTGATGGGATAAGTCATCAACCCTATCTCAGCCTGCAGGTTCTTTGTCTGCAAAGCTGGGGAGATTCATTTGGTTCCCCAGGGACATCTGGAGCAGACTGGGATCTCTGCCGAGAAAGGCGCCAGTTTGAAACCCAGTGTCTGAGGCCGTTGGCTCCTGTCATCAGCCCAAAGGAGGCAGGAGGCACAGGTGTCCTGGGCGTGCCAGGCACTGGAGGGCTCCTGCACTTAGGGGGGATTAGTCACCTTGTAAAAGTTAAAACAGGTGATTAGTCATCTTCTGAAGTGCAATAAGTAGCACCTTAATAAGGGCCCAGAGGGCTGGAAGCTTCCCCAGGCCAGCTCTGTCTGCTCTTTAGGAACAAGCTGGAGAAGGCAATTATCCTCCCTGCAGGTCGGAGCTGCTCCGGCTGGAGGGTGGGGTGCTGGCCCATCTGCCCAAGTGGCAGGCAGGGACTCCAGCACCTCAGGGCTCTGAGGCCCGCCTCCGGCCCCTCCCCCTTCAGGTGGGGAGAGAGCCCAGGGTGACCCACGAGAGCTGGACTGGGCCATCTGCAGCGGGGGTACACACACCTGCCTTGGGTGGTGGGAACAGGCAGAGACTGGAGGCTTTTCTAGGAGATTTGGATGCAAGGGAGGAATCCTTCCTATTAAGTCCCGATGGAGATAGTAGACTCAGAATGGCTCAGGTCCTCCCCACTAGAGCTCTGGGTGGAAGGTGTGCCCAGCACCATGACCCATGCAGGAATGGGCTCAGAGGGGATGGAGGACTTGCTCAAGGTCACAGTGACGGTGGCGGAGCTGATGCATCCCTGAATCAGTTTGCTCCTAAGGCCGCTGGCCAGTCTCAGCCCAGGCCACACAGTGCCCTCCCTGGGCCAGAAGACCGGCCCCACCTTTCTGTGGGAAACACTGGGTTTCTAGTACAGATGCCTGAGAAGAGGTTCCATTGCTCAGACGAGCTCGAAGCCAATGAGTTATGTCATGCTGCCCTTTAGGATGACAGCAGCAGCAACCCTATAAGCTGCTCACCCCTTTGAGGCACTTTAGAGTCTCAAGGGGCCAGAACCAAACATGCTGAATGTGGGGAAGCCAATTCCAGGGCTCTGACCATGGAAGCCACGTGATGGGGGCAGTCCTCAGGGGGAAGGGGTGTGAACTGAGGAGACAGGCTCCATGGAGAGCTGCAGGAGGCTTCACGGAGGAGCAGATGTAGCCTGCACTGTCAGGGGATTGGGCAGGTGTTCTCCTCAGGCCACCCCAGCACAGGGAGAGGGGCCCCGGGCTGTTTTGACTAACCGAGTTCTTGAGGTCGAGATACTTGGTGTTTCTGGTCACTGGCATCCCAGACAGGAAGGTCAAAATGTCGTTGTTCGCCTGTAAAACCATGCGTGGAGGTGGCTGCTCCGGGTCCAGGTGCGTGGCTGGGAAAGGTGCTCCAGGCCCCCCAGGCTCTGCCTGCTTCCCAAGGGCCTGAACACCCAAAGGAGGGTGTGGTTTCTAGTTCTTCCCAAATCTGAGGTCTCCTCACATTTCCAGTTGCTCCCCTTCCACCATAAGCATCAATTCCCCCCCTCCCCTGCTTCTGGGGCATTTCTGACCAGGCTGAAGGTCACATGGTTTGTAGGGCATGCCAGGAGACCTCAGCTAGGATTGGGGTGTTGGGGTGGGGGTGGAGGCAGGTGCAGAAGGGCGAAGCACTGAGCATCATTCAGGAGGGCCCTGTGGTTAGAAGCTTCCTGTGACTGGCCCAGCAGAGGGAAGTCACTCAAGCCAAGGCCAGGAGTGGTTGCTGAGGGGATGAGCCGGGGAGAGAGGAAGGGGAGCTGACATCAGGGGGCAACCTGAGGGACCCTGAGGAGCAGGAGCAGTGGCAGCAGGGCAGTGGGGAGAGGCCTGGAGGAGGGTGGGTGCTCACCTCGTCCAGCACGGCATTGCGCTTGGCCCGCTGCCGCTGCCGGAGCAGCACCAGGCCTGCGATGATGTCGGATGGCACGATGTCAAGATCTCGGAAAAACTCGGCAAAGAGGTAGGCGATTTCTGAGTAGGCGTCCTGTGAGGTCCGGGGCGGGGGGGGGGGGGGGTGTGGCGGGATGGGGGGGTGGGAAGCAGGGACAGAGGAGCGGAAAGAGGGTGAGAGATGGGGCGTGAATCCCTCCATACTGGGGGTCTGCCGTGGGCCCAGTGCCAGTTTGCCCCTGGCACCTGCACGGCACAAGCCAGGCCCAACCCCACATGGCCTTCCACAGCCGTAACCCCGAGGGCCCTAGCCTGGGCTCCTGGGCTCCTGGCCTCCGCAGACCTGGCCAGAGCTGTCTGGGACAGCCACCAACCTTGTCCGTCCTCCACCTCCCAGCCCTCTTCTGTCCTCAGAGCTCCTACAGCACTCACCATCACTTCCTACCACGCACAGATGCCAACGTGAGCCATTTCCTGTTCTTTCCCAAGCCACTAGGAATCAAGGCCTGCTCGGCCTGGCTTGTTTCTCCTCCGCCTTTCTCTCTAGCAGAGAAGCTGAAACTGAGCTCCTGGCTGCTGCCTCCCCACGCTGAGTTTCTTCCCACCTCCCACTGGCTGTGACCTTAAAAGGCCTCCTGAGGGCTGAGCCTCCAGGTGTCAGGCCCTCTCCCCCAGCTCCCCATAGCTACAGGCTCAGGGACCCTCATGATGTAACTGGAAGAGGCTGTGAAGCTGGGTCAGTGGCCCCTCTGGCTTCCCCATAAGCCTGGTCCTCGGGCCAGCCTGAGCCCAGGGCAGGATGCAGGAGGCACACAGGCAGAGGCAGCCAGGCCCGTCCATGTGCTCAGCATCCTTCCCACCTGAGTCCAAGTGCAAGTCTGGAGCCTCTTCCCTAACCTGTCAGGGGAGGCTGTGATGGGAGTAAACTCATGGCAAGTGGTTCTCTTGCTGGGTTTCGCTCTTGAGTGCCTGGCACTTGTAAGAGAAGAAAAATCAGGGGTTGCAAACTCAAAGGCCTAATGAGGCCAAATGGAGCTAGCTACTACTCACTCCGGCTGACTGCCCCACAAGGGGCCCACACTGCCAGATCCGGAAAAATGAATCTGTATATGAATGCCCTGATTCTTCATGCTGGCACTCAATTCAAATTTTAAGCAACACAGCACAGAGTGATCAAAACATGCCCTGGGCTGGACCTGATCCCCAGACCAGTGTTTGACAGGACCCAGATCCTGGGCCATCCCTCCCCACAATGTCCTGCCTTTTCTCCAAGCTCTACTAACATCAGCCTTAACTCTGCCATGTGCCCTGGAGGGGGGATGTATCCCCCTAGACGCCCCCTCTCCACCCACCAGGGAGCCTTCAGGGAGAGGGGGGATTTCTTATACCTGATTACTCACTCTAGAGATCACCAGGGGCTGCTGATGGGAAGGAGCCACTCAGGCTTCTGATGGCTTCATGGAGGGCACTTGCTGTCTTGGCTTAGAGGAGTTGTCTCTTGACCTCCCTGGCTCTGCCACTAACTAGCTGTGGGACTCTGAGCAAGTCAACCACCTCTCTGGGCTTAGCTGTCTGATCTGCAAAACGAGGGGCAGGTGAAGGTAGGGACTAGGTGGTCTCTAAGGGCCCTGCCAGCACCAGTGGCTCTGCCTCAAGGACCCCAAGGGCCCTACCTCCCCTCCAGGAGCCACCCTTGGCTGAGCCTGTCTTCCTTTGGAGAACCTGGCACCCTTTGGGCCCTTCTGGCTCCTCCTCTGAGCACCAGGTATGAAGTGCCAGCTGTGTGTGTCTGGGGCTCAGCACCTGACAGCTGCGACAGATCTTCCAGAGGCATTTGCAGCTGGTGACACACTGCTTTGCTTTGCATATGGGTCACCCTGATTGTTTAGTATCTGCTCTCCTAAACTAGGCTCTAGGTTCCCAGGGGGTGGATGAAAAGTCTTGGCACTTGTCTGTCCCCCTGCCAAAGCAAGGGATTGGCTGTTTCACATGCTGGAGGGAGTCGGTCAGTGGATAACAGGTTGTCACCTTGCTCCTGCTTAAAACCCAGTACCCTTCTAGTAGCCCTGCCCACCCCCGCCCCCAGCTCTGCCAAGGAGTGAGGGCTCCTAAGTGGCTGACAGCAGGATGTGAGCCTGGGGATGTGACTTACTGACTGGGAGTCCTTCGTCCGAGTACAGCAGAGGAACACTTTGAGCCGGCGTGACCAGCTGGTGGCCTGACCCTCCTCTAAGCGGTGCCTGCAAATGGAGAGAGAGTTGGTATGTGTGAGGTCAGAGGGTGGGACCAGAAGAGCCATGCCCTAGATGTGATGGGAACAGGGCAGCCTGTTCCCAGGATCACACCAATGGTGCCCCAGCAGAGGGTCTAGGAGAAAACAGGCCTGGGCCTGGCCAAAGCTGGGTGGCCGGTGAGCAGGTGACACGTCAGCCAGCATGGCACTCCCTGAGGGGACCCCTGTTGGCCTAGGATGGCACACGGTCAGCCATGCTCCCAACCTTTGGTGGACTGAACACCTGCATTCCCTGGGGGCTTCAGAGGTGGTAGCCCAAATCGGGGGCTGCCCTGTGGTGCAGGTGTCCAAAGGCTTAACCCAAGCCCTGGGATACCCCAGCAGGGTACTGGGCCTCTCGGCCAGTTCACTGGAGCAGAGCTGTTGGACAGGCATGCTCTCCTTGAAAGGATTTCAGATACCTAATCCTTTCTGTATCCGGGAAAAGTTTAAGAGGCACAGGGGGCTCTGCCATCTTCCAACTCCTTGGATCTGTGACATCAGAGGGGACAAGGCCGCCTCTGGGGGCCCCTTTCACCTGCATGGCTGGTGCCTGTCCATTCCTGCACTCCAGCCCCAATGTGTCTAGCTGCTCTGACAGGGAGTCAGGTGTCCAAGAGTCTGCACCCAAAGGCAGAGCAGCTGGCCAATTCTCCACAGAAGCCCTTCCCATGCTGGGTGCCCAGAAGCCCATGTGTTTTGAGCATAAGTTTAAGAAACCCAACATTAAATACTTAAGTTTCCAGATTGAACAAGAAGAGGCTGGTTTGCTTTTGGGCATGTGCCCTCTCCTCCCTCCAGTCCCTTCAGATGCTGATGCTTGGTGGTCAGTAGGGGAAGGCACGGGTGGCCCAGAATGCCTGCAAGGCACTTAGTATCCGTCAGGAGTGAGAGGCCAGGCCCTCGTTCCCAAGCCTGTTGCCGTCTTTCTGCAGCTAAGGGCTGCTTCACACAGCCCTGGTTCCATAAGGCAGTGGGCCCTAAGAACAGGGAAGGCCACAGAGTTTCTAGGGCTAGAGGAGGGGTTAGGAAACGGTAGGAGGGTACAAGGGAATTTCTGCTTCTGCAATCTACCAGCTCTAAGGAATTCGGGCAGCCTTACATCATAAACCAACATCCCACCTGCCAAGAGCTTGATGAAGGAAAAACTTGCTGGCAAGCCGGCATCCCAGAGCATCACACTCTTTAACCCTTCCTGATCGAATGGACTTTTAAACTTTTGGAGAGTATTTCCTGCTAGGCCTCTCGGGCTGATGGAAGTGCTGAATGTGCACTTTCCTGCACCACCTCTTCCTTACACCCACCAGGAGGCAGATGGAGCCAGTGACAGGTTTGGCCTGATGCATCAGTTAGGCTACAGAGAACACAGGCAGAGAGATACTGAAGCTGGACAGCAAGCTCGTGGACCCAGCACCCCTCTTCCCTGGGGCTCACTAAAGCAAAGGCATGGCAGACACCCCTGCAAAGATCATGGTCAAGGCTCCCAGGAAGTAAAGCTGGGAGGAACCCATCTCCCAAACCCTACCAGATTTCACTGGAAGGAGAGAGGGGCCAGGACTTAAGCAGCTTTCTGACTTCCAGATGATAAAATAACCTGTCGGTGTGGCACGATGAGGCTTGTGCATGTCCCCAAACCTGGAAGAGGACGAAGGGTGGGCAGGCAGGCTTAAAAATGTCCTTGTTAGAAAAACTATTGGTTTCAGAGCCAAGGGAAGACCAGTTGAGACCAGCCTGAGAGGTGATCACCCTCACCAGGCCTCAGACTAGGCTGTCCTCCCAACCCCTGCAGAGAGCTGAAGAAAACACAACAGGTGGGAGCTGTGAGCTCTGAGGCCTCTTAGCCTCACAGGGCCTGAAACCATAGGAAAACTTTCTTATTAAAATGACAGCCCCCCAACTGCAAAGGCATTGGCTTCCCTGGGCCCCAAAGGCAATTACCCAGAGTCAGGGAGGGGAGATTTTTTGTCCCAGGGCCCCAGGAGCCCAGAAACCAGGTCAGGTGGGGGCGTATGCTCAGAATGAGCAAAATGGGATGAATACTGATGGCCTGCTCCACCGGGAGGGAAAATGAGCTCTGGGGCCTTGGCTCCAAGATCTGGTATTTTGGGCTGGGAGGTGGCCAGCCCAGGAGCGGGTATGGCTCTGGCTGCAATGCCAAGCTGACGTGGAGGCCCTGAGGGGAGCTGAAGCAGAGCCGCAGGAGGGTGGGGTGAACAGAGTTCCCACTGGGCCCTGGCTGAGGGCCCTGGACTGCCCTGCCCTGGAGATGGAGGGCCAGGTCTGCACCCAACATCTGTGGAGCTTGGACCCTTCATCAGTAGAAGAGTCTCTTGAGGGCACCAGGGTCAGCAAAAAGATCCAATGGATTGATGGTGGGAAAGGGCTCATGACAGGACCTAAGTCATAGTAGAAACTCAATTAACAAGAGTCACCATGCCCCCCCTGGAAGCACTCCCCCCCCCAGTCTTTTTCTTTCACTAAACAAGAATTACTGTGACCCTGTAAGTCTCATTTTCTTTACCATGGCACAGTGTTCTCCTTTCTTCAAAACACTGTGCAAAACCTAGCCTGTCCAGGAAGCCTTCCTTGATTAATCTTCTCCAGCCCCCTTAATCCTAGAGGCAGCCTAGCCTAGTGGTTAGAAGCAAGCATCCTAAAGCCAGACAGCCCGGGCTTAAGCCTAGCCCTATTGTATACCAGCTGTGTCACTCAGGCAAGTCACATAATGTCTCCATGTCCCAGCTCTGTCTGTATCATGGGGATGATGCTGACAGCCTCATCCTAGAACTGCTGTCACTTAGTACACATGGTGCTTGGCTTGGTTCAGGCATGCTTCCTGCTACAATGACTGCTGTGGCTAAGAGCACTGAAGATGGTGCCAGGGGTCACAATGGCACCATTTAATGAACACGTACTTTATTTCAATCTCATGGTAGCAGTGTGAGACAGGAGCTGTCACTATTCCCACTTTCCAGACTGGGAAACAGAGGTAGGGAGTGGCTAAGACTGTAACTGATGCCCACGGCCCACACAAGTCGCTAGGTGGTGTGGGAAGCCCGGGGCCAGCTCCACCCACTCGCCCGCACCTCTCTCACGGGGCACCCGCCTGCCAGCAGGCCAACTGACCGAAGGTTGTAGGTGCGGAGGTTGCGTTGTCGCCTCTTGGTGGCTCTCAGCTTGACAAAGGTGCGGCCCGTGGGGTCGAAGACGCAGAGGACAGTAATGCAGACACTGAGGATGACCACCCAGTTGCAGACAACCATCCCTGCGGGGGAAGCAGTGGGAAGCAAGAGGCAGGGGTGCTGGGGTGACCTCCCGGGCTCAAGATGGAAACCTCCCCATCATCATCAGCTCCTGGGGACCAACAGGGCTCCAAAGCCCCTGGCCCCAGCCTCTGGCCACCTGGTTGGCCCATGCTGAGCCATGACCCCCCAGGCCCAGCCTTGGTACACATAAGCAGGCAGCTCTGGGGGTTTCTGGTGAGGAGTTGAGGGGCCCTCCACTCTTGCCCTGGGCCACTGTGTCTGCTCTTGCCCCCCCTCCCCCACATACTCCGTTCCCCTGTGGGAGGATGGCAGACCACAGGATGAAGCCCACAGCCTCAGCCACCATCCTGCCCAGCATCCTCACAGACGCTGCCCCCCTGTAGGTGCCTGAGCTTCCTCTTCTCTAAACTGACCTGTCCCTTCTACCCCTGGGCTGGCGGGACATACCGAGGGTGACATTCTTGGCAGTGAGGTCATTACAGGAGGTGTAGTACTGAGTGAGCCAGACGATGCCCACGATGGCATAGATGAACTCGATCACCAGGATGGCTGCGAGGAGAGCAGGGCCCTGGCTGAAGGACGGCCATGGTTGGCCTGCCAGGGAAGGGTCCTGGGACTTCCACCTGGCCCCTCCTGCCGCAGGGCCTCCAGCCAGTAATGTGGCAGGGGCCTCAGACCCCGACCCCCCACCCCTACCCCCACCCCCGGCACAGGCCTCATGGTGGATGGGGCCCAGGGAGTGTGGCTGCCCCACCACCTTTCTGTCCTGCTAGCCTACGTGCCCTCGGGGCCCCCAACGCCTCCCTGAGAGGGTGACTGGAAAAGCAGATGACAAAGAGGCATTTCTCTGTTCTTTCAGGATTTTAGAATTATGTTCATGAACTCTGGTGGTATCAGACATATCTTAGGCAAGTTACCTAATCTCCCTGGGCCTCCGCTTCCTCATCTGTAAAATGGGGTGACAACTTCTGCGTTACAGGACTGCAGAGAATTGAGAGAGTGTTCATCTCATGGAGACTGCTATTTCCCAGAAGGAGGCTCCAGCCCTCGGGGCAGGAGGAGGGAGGAGCCCTGCTTAGGCCAGTGGGATAGGGGCATGGGACAGCCTTAGGGACCCAGTTCCAGAGGCAGCGCCGGTGGTGGCTGAGAGTCCAGGCTTTGGAGACAGACATCTTGGGTTCGAATCTCAGCTCTGACACACACACGCACACTAGCCATGTAACCTTGAAGGAGCTAATTAACCTCCCTGAGCCCAGATTCCTCATCCATAAAGGCGAACCCATAATGCTCCTCCCTCAGTTAATAAGGGGGAAAGGCTTAGCACAGTTCCTAGAAGTGGACAGAAGTGTTGCTAGGAAAGACTGGGAGGGGCAGCTGGAACCCAAGCCCGGAAAGTAGACATGGGCTGGCCCTCCAGGGAGCTGATCTGGCCCCCTGATGGGCTTCCGGAGAAAGGGGGCTCTTTGGGGAAAAAGTTCAAAGTAGCAGAAGAGAAGCACAGAGGCCAACAAATTCTTCCTGTAAAGGCTCGAGTAAATATTTTAGACTTTGTGGGTCCTATGCTCTGGCACAACTACTCAGCTCTCTGCAGTCACGCGTGAGCAGCCAGAGACAAGTGAGTACATCAATGAATGAGTGTGGCTAAGTTCCAATAATACTTTATTTACAAAAATAGATGGAAAGCTTGATGTGGCCCTCAGGTCACAGTCTTCCCACCCCTGGTCTAGAACACAAGCCCAGTAAGTCTGCTGGTTTGCTGCTGGACCCTGGTGCCAGCCCAGGGCCTGGCCTATCGCACATGCCCCACAAATGTTGGCTGAGTGAATGATGGAGCCCAAGAGGAGCAGGAGGTGGGGGTGGTCTGGAGCAGCCCCCATTCATGGTGGGTGGCCCTTACCCAGGCGCACGTAGAGTACATACTGCATGGACTCGCGGGGCTCCGTGTAGAGGATGCCCCCGCGCATGCTCAGCCAGATGATAGCCATCTCGGCGATCATGCAGCTCAGCAGGATGCCTAGGTAGCCGCGGCCGTGGTCCACCAGGTTCAGGGAGCAGGCCTCATTTGGGTTGTAGACCAGGCCGAAGAGCACCACAGACAGGATCACAAACCTGGGGAGATGCACACATGAGGGGAGCCGGGCAGCCTGGGCACCTCCCACAGTCCCTGGCCAGCTGGGAGGACTTGGCAGGGGGAGGGCTTCAACTGCTTCAGGCTCAGGACCACCATCCACCTGGTATCTGGTGCCTCTGGGGACGCTGGCAGCCAGGGACAGGGAAGTGAGAGTAGGGAGCTCAGTTGCCAGCTGTGGGGAGAGGGCAGTGGCAGCCCTGTCCAGTGATGGCGCCAGGTCCAGGGGTGGTCAGGCAGGGTCTCTGGGCTCCACGCAGGTATCTCCCTAATCGGTGTGTGTTCCAGACACCAACTCCTAGGAGCCAGGAGCATGGCAGGGTCAGGACAAATGGCCAGAAAGCCTTCTTCCAGGCCTGTGGGACAGCCCTAAGACTCACCAAGTGGTATGCAGGAGGAAGAGGAAGATGGCTGGCAGGACGAGGTCATCACTGCCCACAGACCAGCGCCGCCGGAACACCACAATCCCGGGCATGGCTGGCAGCTCTGCAGAGGCTCAGCGGGCCTGGTGCTCACCTCCTGAAAGATAGCAGAGGACCCTGTGGCTGCCTGGGCTGCTGTGGCATCCAGGGCCACCACAGTCCTAGCCAGGTGTGCCCAGTATACAAGCATCTCTCAGGCCCCACAGCCCAGGTGCTTCCAGGCTATCGGAAATGCTGATCCATGCCTGGGCAAGACCCACCTCCGACCCCGTCTGCCCCCAGAGCCAATATAAAGAACCTTAGCAACCAGAGATGGGCTTCCCCTGAGGACTTAACCCTGAGGGACTCTTGCCCCCAAAGACTGGCACCAGCCCTTTGGGATCGGCTCTCCCTGGGGTTACTGCAACAGTAACTGCTCAGTTCCATTAAAGACCTGGGCTCACCTTCTGCCTCCTACATGGATCAGGGGAGCCCCTAGCTCTGCTGTTGCCTTTTCTTAAGGAGACCCAGCCCAGTGCATGTAGTCCTTGGGGGTAGTGTGGGGGCTTCCCACACCAAGCATGAGCCAGTCCCTCAGCACAAACCGAATAAGACAGGTAGAAGGCGGAAGACCTTGGGGAAGATGAGGGTAAGGGCATGCATGGATCTAGCAAGTATGGAGGCAGGAGAGTGCCCAGCACATAGCAAGTGCTCAGTAAAGATCTGTTGAATGAGGTCCAGTTTCTTGCTTTGCTGGACCCCAGGAAGTATGCTCTATGACTTGATTTCACACTCATCAGACAGATGCCCAACCACAGCTATGCCTCTTGGTAGAGAGGGACACAGCTGGGATCCACGGTCAGGGGTGTGACTGGGGCCACCCAGCCCCTCTGCTGGAAGGGCAGTGAATGAGTCCTGCAGGATATCCCGTCCTCCTGGCAACATACCTCCCATGCCCACCTTGAGCCACTCAGCCTTTGCTGCCCAGTTCAAAACTCTCTGAAGCTGCTGAATTCAAATTAGCCACAGGCCAGCTCAGAAGGAGCACTCAGGAATCCAGGGCCCCCATGCCCTAGAGCCCTAGGAACAAGGGCAGCACTACAGACCAGAAGGCTCCCCCCGGGGAGGCTGGTCTAGGAGATATTGGTGAGGGGCTCCAGTTCACCTGGGCTGAACTGTGCAGAGGAACCCCTGCTGTGGGGGTGGGTACCCCACTGGTGGGCACCTGCCCCCAGGCCCAGAGGCTTACATGGCACCTGGTTCAGAGGCGGGCGGCAAGTCCTCCTCTCCCCGGTGGCAGCTCCGGGGAAAGCAAGTGTCCTCAGAGACCAGCATCACTCGGGAAGCAAGTGACCAAGTATCCCCCTGCCAGTTGGCAGGGCCCTCAGGTTGGATGAGGGGCCGTGGGGCTGGGTGGCCCGCCGGCATGTCCAGGCCGGGCCGCCTCTGTCTCTGTCTCCCTGGTGCAGCCACTTTAGCCAGCCGCTGCCAGGCTGCTCCCTGCAAGCTGGCGGGCGGGCTAGCCTGGCGGGGTCGTGCCTACTCCTCCCCCCCTCAGGAAGTGACATCATCCCACTCTCTCCAAGGAGGAGTCAAAGCACGGATTCTGGGAAGTGGGGAAGAGGATCAAGAGCACGGGAGGGAGCTGCGTGGTGGGGTGGCTGGGTGGGGGTGGGGGTCTGGGGCTCCAACAGGGGATGTGAGTCCCTCACAAGGGGCTGATGGGCCTGGGACGGGAGGAGCAGGGACACTGTGGGTCCGTAGCCAGGCTGGGGTGGGACAACCAACAGCTGGTGTGGCAGGCGCCGCTTCTCTACAGCCCCTCCCAGTCTCCAGGTGGCTCCTCTTAAAAATACTGGGCTGAGGGGGCCCCCTCACATGAATAAGATTACTGGGAGGTCAGCTGGTGGGGTCCCAGCAGGTGCCGCAGCTCCAATCCCCATCTAAGCACTAATCCAACCCCACCCCTGCGGTAGCAACTGAAGGGGAGTGCCCTCCCAGAGGGGGAAGGTCAGGCCTCTGCCAGCAGCCCAAGAACATCCTGCTCTCAGGTGCCCCCCCAAGGCCCTCCCCCACCGCCTGGAGGAGCACCCCCCTCTCATCCCCACCCTTCACTTCTGGGAGTCTGGACAGGCTAACACTCAACTCACACCTGCAAACTCAGACACACAGCCTCGCGTGTGCACACAGCACTGCCCTTCCTGCTCTCAGGCGGAAAGGTAGGGAGAGCCTGGCTCCCCACCCTGCAGAGGGAGCCGAAGATGTGTCAAGACTCCTGAGAAGTATGGCCAGTGACGGCCTCTGGCCAGGTTCAGGGGGTGACCAGCCTGAGGCCAGCAGCTGTGGTTAGTGCCAATGACCACCTACATCACATGGCAGGGCTCCTTCGGGCTGACCCCACTGGGTACCCTGGTACAAGCCTGGGCACCACACCCTCATCCTCCAGCCTGTACCTAGGGCCAGCGCCAAGAATCCAAGGGTGGGTGCCCAGGCTGCCTGGCTTCAAACCTGGACCCTACCACCCATTCACTGTGACTTCCTAGCTGCGCCTCAGTTTCCTCATCTGTAAAATGTCGCTTGACGCCACCTGCTAAAGTTCTGGTGAGGACCACGGGAGAGGAAGTCTGCAGAGGCCCCAGGAGTGCTGGATAATGTCAGGGATGGGCCCAGTGAGTGGGTGAGGCAGAGGAAGGGCTTGAGAGCCCCGGTGGACCAGCCGTCCCTCCCCCGCCCAGGCTAGTGAATACTCCAGCTGATCAACGACAGGTCACAACAGGTCACGGGTATTGTGGGGTGAGGGTGACAGGGCCGGTGCTGCTGGGAGCAGACGGGCCACTCCATTCCATGAGGATTCATCAACATCAGGGCTGCTATTCTTAAGGGCCTGAAAGGCACTCTTTCTCTGAGACCCCAGCCCTTCACAATGGGGGCCTGTTCCCCTGCTGGGATGTGATTTCATTTGGAGGAAATGTCTCAGGAGGGGGGAGGGCAGAGGCTACTTCTTGGTCTGGGGTGGCCACAAAGCACCTCCTCTGGCTCTCCTCCCTTGGGGAACAGGGTCGATGCCCTCCAACAACTGCATTAGTGGGACATACAGCCTCCCCTCCTTCCTTACCCCAGATGAGTGGCACCTCCAGGGTGGGAATGGTGCCCCCTCCAGCAGCAGAGAACCGAGGCACTACTGGGGGCTCCCTATATCCCCTGGCTAGGCCCCCAGCTCAGGCAGGTCTGAATGGGGTCCCAAGACCCTCTTCATGTAGATCGTCTGACTCGAGTGGCCCTTGGGAGCCCCTTTCTTCCCCCATCCACAAAGCCCCATTTCCCTGCTGGTGATGCAGGACCCCCAAGTTAGGTATTAACCATTTTTGGGAGTTCCTCTTTCTAAAGATACAAAACTCTTTTTAAAAAATGCACATGCGGGATCCCTGGGTGGCGCAGCGGTTTGGCGCCTGCCTTTGGCCCAGGGCGCGATCCTGAGACCCGGGATCGAATCCCATATCGGGCTCCCGGTGCATGGAGCCTGCTTCTCCCTCTGCCTGTGTCTCTGCCTCTCTCTCTCTCTCTCTCTCTCTCTCTGTGACTATCATAAATAAATAAAAAAAATTTAAAAAAAAAAAAAGAAAAAAAAATGCACATGCTATCCCCTACTTTAGAAACCCTCTACAGCTCCCCATGCCTGCAGGATAAAGTCCAAGCCCCTCAGGCAGTGGTTAAGGGTCTTAGTCTCTGGCTGGCAGGCTGTGCAATCTTGTGAGGGTGCCTTCCCCTCTCTGAATCCTGGACCAGAAAGATACTGTCCAACCCCTGGAGATCCAGGGCATAGTCTGATATAAGCACAGAACCCACCTTCAGCCAGCCAGTTCCTTCTGGCTGGGGAGGCACTCCATCCCCTTCTCACACTGCCCCACCCTCCTTTCCTAACTCCCCCCAAAACTTGCTGTCTCCCTAAAACACCTCATGGGAAGATTCCATGCTTTGCTTACTCTAGTTCCTCTGCCAGGCAAAATCCTACTCATCTTTCCAGAGGAGCCAAAAGTCATGGCCTCTTTGAAAACCATCCCTGACAGCACCCACCCCCTAACCCCACTCTTCCCAGGCAGAACAGGCTACTCTCTGATGGGATCTCCAGACCTCTCACTCCAGCGTAGCCCTGGGCACAGTGTCGTATGGTAAACTTGCCAATTCCTCGAGGCCTGTCCCTGCTCTGGTTCAGCCGAGTCCCCTAAGGGCCTGGGTCTTACAGAACCGCCCATCTTCCCACCCACTTTGTGCCCCTAGGGTGCGAACACATCTCACCTCAAACCCTCTCCTCCTGAGCAGCCTCAGTGGCCTGAACCACAGCTCCATCTCTCAGAAACAAGTTCCCCTTCAGCCAGGAGGGCCAGAGGTGGCTCCTTTCCCTTTTAGCTCTCACATCCTTGGCTTTTTGGTTAATGTCCCACCCCAGTGCCTCCCCTGACCACTGAAGGAGAACCATCTTCTGCCCCCCTCTGGCTCTCTTACAATCTAGGGCTTTAGTTTCTGTGGCTGCAAACCCAGGATAAGGCCACCCCTGAGGGCTATAGCAGGAAATGGTTGGGATGGTGTCATTGAGGGCTAGCACAGGCCCCACAGATGGGGCCATCATAACCAAGCTCCTGCGGGGCTCACTGGGGCCTTTGTGGCAGGGTGATCTGTGACTGGGTGCTGGGGTCTGGGCCAGTGCAGCTGCCACCCATGGTTGGCTCCAGCTGGGCAGAAGGGGCTGGACTAAACAGGTATAAGCCTGGATAGGCTCACCTGCCCTTGCCGTGAGCCTTGCGGGGTTGCTGGTTAAAGGTCTCCTTGGGCTTGGCCCTGGGAGCAGGTTTTAGGGAGAAGAACCCCTCCACGGTGGGTGCTAACCAGCAAGGTGCCAAGAGCCCCCAGGTGAGGGAGGAGGGGGAGGGCGTGGCTGTTGTGTCTATTCTCTGGAAGACCCAGGGCTGCTGGGAGATGGGAGTGAGGCCAGGTCACTGGAGCCAGGCTGAGCCCATCACCCTCAGGAGACAGGACGACATGCTGCAGGAGGGCTGTGGCGGGCCATCTCCAGCTTCCAGGTCAGCCCACGGGACCTCCCACTTGGCCTGAGGTGGCCCCAGGCATACAGGATGGGCTGGAGTTGAGCTGGAACAGAGGGATAACCGGCAGGTCCAGGCCACAGGTCCTGCCATGAGGTGAGCACCTTCTGTGCCCCCAAGTTCTAGACTAGTTACCTTACACCCTCACAGGTGGGAGGGGATGCAGGGTGACAGCTGCACTTGGTGCACAGGTTATAAAAACAGACCGTGCCTAAGAGCTGGCTATGCACACTGGCCATGTGCCCTTGGACAGGTTACTTACCTCTCCATGCCTCAGTTCTTCCTTTCTCAGATGGGCTGAGAACAGTACCTACCTCAGAACTGTCACGGGGTCAGATGAGCCACACACTGTGGTGGCCAGCCAGTGCCCCTCCAACAGCACTGCTCCCAAAGGAGGTACTGAGGCTCAGGCATCACCCGACTCCTTCCGAGGAACAGGAGCTCTGCAGCAGGAGACACAGGCCATACCTGCTGCCACCCAAGACTCACACCTACTGTACAATGGTGGCGAGAAGGGGCTCAAAAACAGTACCATCACCCTCTTTCGTGGGTGAGGAAATGGGTCCAGAAAGGTGCCAGGGACTCCGGGCTTCCCCATGCATCCAGCTCTGCGGTGTCACCACCCCGGTGCTGGACACACTGTCCCAGAGTCCTGGGGCTGGCCCCTGCCCTGCTTCCTCACGTGCACCCCACTTGAACTCCTTACAAGAGATCTGTCTTTCACACTCCTGATGCATAGATGGGAAAGCTGGCCAGTCCACATGAGGTCCACCCACAAGAAGGTATCAACTACTTGTACAGTTTCCAACAGAGTCATCCATGGCTGGCTCTCCACCTCCCAGGGCAGGGTCCTCATTACTCTGCAGTTCGGCTGGCGAAAGTCAGGAGACCTCAGACCTGAGCCCACCCTCCCTGCTAAGGCTGGAAATGGAGCCAGGTCTAGCCACATCTTAGAGCTGCCAGTCCTGGACCAAGAGCAGTGTCCCCAGGCCAGAGTGTCACTGCCCCTCCAGACCTTGGTTTCTTCTTCTGGAGAATGAGGAGCCTGGCCTACTGACAAGAGGCTCGTGTTTTTGTACTCAGATTAGTATTTACTAATTTGATTAATTTGTTGTTGATTTCACAACAAATGGCTCCATGTGCCTTACAGGAACCAGAAACA